CCACGTCAGCCTGCCACCTGCCTCGCCCGGCACTGCCAAAATGCTGCCCAACTCCAGCACCAGCTCGGCCACGCACTCTCCCAGCAACACTGTCAGCATGGCCATGGCTGACAGTGCCGGCCACCTGTGGTCCTTCATGTCTAACACCAGGCTCTGCTGTGCCACATCACGGGCCAGCAGGAAGCTGGGGGCTCCCCCAGATGCTTCTCAAAGGAACATGGATGCTGTCTTTGTACCACAAAGTGCTGTCTTTAGTGTCACAAACACTTTGTGCTTGAACACCTCATAGCTGCCATCTGCAGCTGCAGCTGTTGGGAGAGTTGGAAAGGTCACTCCCCCCCTCACTGCTTTGCAGAGGCCTTTGCACACCCAGGGCCACCCTTAGGGTAGGGGTCACTTTCCCCTCACCTGCATCTAACTGGGCCCTCATGCAGCCAGAAGCTCAGTGCTCAGACCACCTATAGACACCTGACAGCAACTCCTAGCTCCCTACCATTTTCCAGAATGCTCTGTCAGCCTCATCCCCAAACTGCAGAAATGTACCTGCTCAACCTCACCTCACCCAAGGACAATATGAGGAAAAACCTCCCGGCCTTTTCAAAATGTTGACTGAGCTTTCCCACAAACAACATCTTCACAAAGATGACTGTCTGCGCACAAGGCATTCGGGTGTTTCTTTATTTCACTTTTACACACAAGGGTAACCGGTATCACAACGTTAAACTTCATAACTGCAGCACAACACAGCATGAAGGTTTCTTAATATCCCATGGCACACTGCCTTCATTCACACAGTCCGTTATTGTACATGGGATGATGGTCCTTCTTCAGAGGAACAGGCAAGACAATGCTCAAAGACAGTTCACAGAGAAGAAGGAGAAAGGGCAAAAAAGAGAAGGCAAATGCTCTAACACAAACCCAGAAAATCCTGTCAGGACAGCTTTCCACTCCCACCAAGAAGCATTCAAATTCAGGAACAACAATGACGACATCAACATAAACAGTCCTTTTCTGAGTTCATCTCGATTCTACCTTCAGACAAAGACCTTAGAAGCAACTTGTGGCGTTTCCTTACAATGCACCCAAAGACAATGAACATGTTCTCACAACTCTGTACAGTTACAGTCTATCCCAACACTGTGCTGCTATATTTTCAAGTCAATCCCAAGTGGACAGCCTGCCGGATCACCCCTGTCTCATGGGCCAAAGGAAGACGTTGTGGGTTTTACCACTCTCCTCTACAGAAGATGAGA